AATGCTAACCCAGTGGCATAAAGAACCCTACATTAATAATGTTTTTTTATGTTTGAACAACTCATTGAAACTAGCTGATTGAAAGCATATTTCAATCAAGCATATAAATAAAACAGAACAGAACAGAGCTGGAAGAGACCTTGGAGGTCTTCTAGTCCAGTCCCTGCTCAAGCAGGAGATCCTATACCATTTCAGACAAGTGGCTGTCTAGTCTCTTCTTAAAAACCTCAAGTGATGAAAGGCCTACAATTTCTGAAGGTAAGCTGTTCCATTGCGTAATTGTCCTCACTGTTAGGAAGTTTCTCCTTAATTTCAGGTCACCTCTCTTCTTGATTAGTTTCCAACCAATCAAGGAGAGAAGCAATCTGGAATATTCATTCCATTCTCCCAGTTTTGGAATATTGGGGGGATGAAATCTCTCTCTAGATCATACTCCACTTTTCTCTCCCAAGAAGCACTTATTCCCCATTGTTGTGTCATGAAACAAACCCACATGTTCTGCCATACTGCTTTAGTATACATAACTTTAATTATGACATGAAAATAACTTCTGTAGAAGTTGTCCCAAAGGTGCTTTTTCAAGAGGCAATTGGACTTTCTTGTTTTTATTTTTCTTTCAAGACTGAAGAAGCTTCTTGAATGAGAAGCGAAATGTCCAAAGAAAAAAAAAACAAGAAAGTCCAGTTGCCTCTTGAGAAAGCACCTTTGAGATAACTATGACCTGGATGACTGAGAATCTCTATAGACATTCTGTAGAAGTTACTACTGGACATGACATCATGAAACTGGCTAAATGATACTGGGTTATTGATAAAAAGAAAGTAGTACTGGTGGCAGAAGCATCATACCCTTATTCAAACTGTAATTTGGTAGCATTAGTTGAACACTCTACTGACAGCCAATGTGTTGTGGTGGTGAAGGTGTCTTTGCACTAGGAAGATGCACATGTTTTTATCTGATCATGAAACTCACTATGGGGTTTTGAGATGGTTACTCTTCTCTCAGCCCAATAGCTTACACAGGTTGTTCTAAGGGATAAAATTGGGAGATACTTTCTATTCTGCCTTGGGCACCCAGAAACAAACAAACAAACAAACAAACAAACATACATACATACATACATACATACATACCCACACAGTAGAATAAATAGATCAAGGTATGAGACTATCCACACTCATGGTTTGTAGCATTGTCCAGCCATCACAGTGTTAATATAATACCTAAGAAGCTAAAGTTATAATATATTGTCACAGAAATGGTGGGATAAAATTGATGGGGTGGGAATCTCAGTATCTTTTGCTCATAATCTTGTGCAATGCAGGAGACACTTGATTGCAAGTGGAATTAGGAGTCTGTCATTATAGATTTAAGCATCTCTCCTGTTTAAAAAGACACATACAAAAGAGTATGCAAGGGGAAATTGCTATCTCCAAAGTATACCCATCTCTTAAAGTATACCCATACTATTTATGCAGGTCCATTAAGTTCATGCTATCAATGTCTCAGTATTTGAAATCTTAAGAAAAGAAATCTCATCACTTGCATTTCTTACATTAACTATGCAAGCACATTTTCAGTCTAGCAACTGAAAGACATTACAAAGACATTAAGACATTAATGACTTTTAATGACATTAATGACATTAAGATATTAATGACTTTTTCCTAAGAATTGTTTCAACATATTTCTGGTAATACCACACTACTAACTAGGGCATACAAAACATTCGCCAGACCAATACTTGAATACAGCTCATCAGTCTGGAACCCATATTACATATCTGATATTAACACAGTTGAGAAAGTCCAGAAATATTTCACAAGAAGAGTTCTACATTCCTCTACTCATTGCAGAATACCTTATGCCACCAGACTCGAAATTCTAGACCTAGAAAACCTAGAACTACGCCGTTTTCAATCTGATCTAAGTATGGTATATAAAATCATACACTGCAATGTCTTACTGGTCAATGAATACTTCAGCTTCAACCATAACAATACAAGATCACACAATAGATACAAACTCAAGGTTAACCACACCAAACTTGATTGCAGCAACAGAGTGGTCAATGTCTGGAATACTCTACCTGACTCTGTGGTTTCTTCCCCAAACCCCAAAAACTTTAACCTTAGACTTTCTACTATTTGACCTCACCCCTTTCCTAAGAGGCCTGTAGGGGGTGTGCATAAGTGCACCAAAGTGCCTACTGTCCCTGTCCTATTGTTTCTTTTATTTTTCTTATATGTACTCATTTCTTGTATTCATAACTATGTTTATCCTTACACCTATTATCTTGTAAGCGATTGACAAATAAATAAATAAATAAATAAACAAACAAACAAACAAACAAACAAATAAATAAAATCTCTAATACAGCAAGGTTCCTGTGCCTTAAGTAAGAGAAACAATCTTGCTGTACTGGCAATCTCACTCTTTATTCCTTCATTTCTCAGTTCCTTCCCCAATTTAGCATTTCCGAAAAGAATCACACAGTCTCCTAACTCTTCTAGGATAGCAGCAGATATTTTCCATGTGCAGTGGTCTGTATGTTAATGTTTACTGGGGAGGGATTACAACAAGCTTGGTCCCTCTAAGTACATTTTAATAGTTCAGTCTCCAAGTAGGAAGTCTATTAAGGTGGACTGTCGGTCTTGTTCAGCTTAGGCAAATGGTCTCAGTCATCTTGTGTGCAGGAGGAGCTAAGCAGGAATACATGTTTGAGGGCATGTTTCGAGCCAGCGTGTAAGATGATCTCTCTTTGCCAAATGCATCAGGCATCCCTGACACACTCGCACACACATTCCTGTCAAGTCATCTCGTGAAAGGCTGCCAGCTTCCAACTTGGCTTGAATGTACAACCTTAATAAAACACGCTGAGGTCTCAGACAAAATAGCAGTTCAGCGGCAGCTAGAGTAGAAGAAAGACTCAGAGGCTATTCCTGGGCAGCTGAGTCCAGGAGACTGCATGCTGAAGTATAACAGAGAGGAAACCATAAATCTCTGCTACTATTGCAATAAACTGCTCCTGCTTTAGCTAAGGAAGTATTGAGATTTAGAAATAATCTTTCTTTTTTTAAAGAAAAGCTCACTATTATTTTCTGAACCTTCTTCCCTTTTCCTTATCTTTTTATCCCCTAAAGAAATCCTTAAAGGCAAAGCAAACATTAAAAAGAGGGGAAGGGGGGTGAAGGAAGGCAAAGGAGAGGAGAGGAGGTTTGGATCAAGGTGTCAAGAGCAGGACAGAAACGGGTTAGTAATATGACCATTTTCTTTTGGTTTGTGTTCCTTGCTTCTCTTCTGAAGCACATCAACTGCACTAGTCCACGCCGGGCTCCAGAGCCCAATGGTCGAAGGTATAATCGGATTCAGCATGGCCAGTGCACCTACACATTCATACTTCCTGAACAGGATGGAAACTGTCGTGAAAGCTCTTCTGACCAATACAACACCAACGCTCTGCAAAGGGATGCCCCTCACATTGAGACAGATTTCTCCTCCCAGAAACTGCAGCGGCTGGAGCATGTCATGGAAAATTACACCCAGTGGCTACAAAAGGTAAGTTTAGAGCTGCTCTAACACCTGTATTGATTCCTGCATGATGTATGTACCATTCCGATGGAGATGTTAAGTTTGCTGCCCTCATCAACTTAGGAACACCCTGAAAACTGTTCAGTGAGAATAACTGCCAATAAAAGTTTGGTGACTGATTGGCAGGTGTTGGCTTGTTGGTTTCAAAGTGATTTAAAGAAATTCAGGGACGTCCAGCCAAGGGAGCTAATGATCAATGTCCAGGTGGATAGCTTGACGGGCTGACTGTTAGAAGTAACTTAACAAGTACAAGGTGTTTTCAGAATGATTTCCATGTTGTTTGAAGTCCCTGTGGTCAGTATTTTTTGTCCATAGGCTTTTTGTTATAAAGATTTCCTTTTTTAAAAAAAAAATAAAAACAAAGCTACTTGCATGGGACAAAAAACATCAAAGGTTAGCAGAAACCATTATCACTGAAACAACCTTTGACACTGTGCTAGCTCAGAAAGCAATGGTTTTAAGTAAAATTAACTATTTCGTGCATTGTAGCACAGAGATAAACTGTTGGACTCCTCTTATAATTTTTGGATTCATTTAAGCAAAAACCTGCTGTGTGTTAGCAGTGTTAGATGTGTGCTTCAGTGGAAATGCTTGGCTGAAAGAAAGCACTGTGCCTTTCTCTGTAGAACTATAGTAAAATCAGGATAATTTTTTTAAAAAAGAGATCAGATAATTAATTCTAATTTTAAGAGCTGCTCATATTTTGAATAAGGCTTATGGTGGACCCGTCCTAAGTGGTTTGCAATCACTTTGACAAGAAACTAAATGAAAATTGAGAGGTTTCCTCGGTGTTGTGCGTTCCACACACTCTTCGTTAATTATCCCATTCCCCAAAGTGGTGCATGTGTTCCCTGAAACTTGAAATGAATGTTACAAAATAAGCATGTGCAGCACTCTATGTTCAGGATACTTTCTCAGTATCAGTAAACACTTCCAAAAGTGTTTTATAGGATTTACTCCTAGAGAATAGCACATAGAATTTCATTCTTAGAAGGCAAACATGTAACTATTTACTTAATCTATCATAGAATACTAGCGTTGGAAATGGGTTGGAAGTCATCCAGCCCAGCCCACTGCTCATAGAAGGACCTCCCTGAATGAAGGCTCTCTAGTTCTGTTTGAAAGCCTCCAGCTGCCCAGGCAATCTGTGTCACCCTGTAAAATTTCTCATTCCAAACGTTGAACCAAAATCTGGTCCTCCCAATTTGCATTCACTTCTTCTGGTCCTGCCGAGGGAAATCACAAAGAGGAACCCTGTTTTTCCTTTTGCCAGTTAAACCTTCAAGCATTTGAAAATGACAAAATGTACTTTTGAGTCACATCAAGATAGGCTTGCCAAAGATTTTGTTTTTGTTTTTCAAAAGCTGTCAGGTGGCATGGTTCATTTCCACATATAGGTAGCAATCAGAAGAATTGCTCTGGTGGAAACCTTGCCTTTCTCATGCTTGGATGAGATCGGTTCTCATATGATGGACTGCATTCCCTTTCTCTCTTCATAAGAGGGAATCAGCCCCACAGAAGTCAACAAGAGTGACTCCTAAATCAATGTGTATAGGACTGCATCTTGAAACCGCATACTTGAGTTTAGCGAGAGGAGGCTTTCATGTAAATGGTGAGACCTTGAAATGTGATGCAGTCGACTCATTCATTCATTAATTGCATCAGTTTGCACAAACTTTTCTGCAAGGCAGAAGATTCCCCTTTTCTTTTCCTTTCCTTTTTCCCTTCTGAAAAGAACTGCCCTGCAAAATCACATCTAAGGAAATTGTTTGTGTTCTGTAATTGACCACTAGGGACTGAACTAAGCTCACTCTTTTACAAACAGAAAAATAAGTCTTTGGAGAACCGTGGAATCCTTTGATTTGCAGCTGACCATCATGTTCGAAAAGAAAATAGGTGACGAACAGACACTTAGCAACAAAACAGTATCTCTAAGACTTGCAATTTTCAGTGGCTCTCCAAATTTAGAAAGTGAAGGAAAGCTTTCCCTTGAGTTGCCTTAAAAATGTTTAGCAGGTGGATAAACATCACATATCTTTCTGCAGTGCTATTCCATAGAATAAAGCATGAGTCATTCCTATTGGACTCTCTGAGTACTTTATAACAGTTTCTGCATAGTCCAGGGGAGATAAAATTTGGATGCCCAGGGTCCAACTTAATATTTTACAGATGTGATAGCTGCAGGGATTAGGAGACTGGGATATTTCTGATTGTTTTCCTTGGTTTGGGGAATTAAATGGGGGGGGTGGGGGTGTTTCCTTTATTTCAACTTTAAGTTAAATCTCATTTTAGCCATTTACTCTATGTTAGCAGGAATGACATCTTTCAGAAACTATGAAGATACTGTAGGTAGTTTTGGAAGTCTGAAAAAGTTGTTTGGGTATTGCAAGTTTCTTTGTAGCCTTCAGCTGTCAAATCTTGGTTTATTTAGCTCATTTGTTTCATTGTTGCTGTCAATACAGCACATTGGGACAGTAATTTTAATAGCAAGGAATATGTAACAGAAAACATGAAATGCATTGAAGCATAGATTTATATTCATGAATGACTTTTTAAAGATGTCATTTCCAGTAATGTGCTATTTGAAAATACATTGCAGCGGATGAGTAAATTAGAAACATTGCTGCTTCTGTGGCTGTGATCCCAGACATCAATTGATATATATCACACACATATGCAGCACTGCACAGTACTTGCGTCTATCTGTGTTTTCGTGCTGTTGCTGTAATATATCACATTCATTAAAACTGTTTAGTATTAGAACGTGTCATAAATATACATGCATACAAACACAAAATACAATCTTTACACTTTGGAAAGGGGACTGAATCTAAAACATGCTTAACTGGCAAGCTGACATTGTAAGGGTCTTAGTTTAGCTAATCTAGAAGAAACGTTCCAATGTTGGAAAAAGAAAAAGAAATATTGGAAAACTCTTCTTACACTGAACTGTCAATTCAATTGAAACTAAAAATTTCCTTGTTCGACTGTAAGCTAGGGTATCAAACTCATGGCCTGTGGGCCAGATACCTCATGTGCTGGCCACCCCTACCCTCATTTTAGTGAAGGGGAAAAAGTCATGATAGATCACATGACAATGATAATGTGACGATGTGAGTTTGACACTCCTGCTGTAAGCATTTATATTTGCATATCCGATTATTAATGTTGATATGATTGGCTGGAAGATAATTTAGTTTAGTAACAATCGACTAGCTTTGCCAAAACTACGAGAAGATTCTTGGTAAACATATTTACAGTTTTTCTTCAAAGTATTTATTTTAACAAGGATAACTTCATTCACTATTTAACCCTGGGTTTCATATCTGTCATGTTTGTTCTAACAGTATTAAACAGATCACATACTGTTGTTTTTTTTATTCCTTGCAATAACTGGCTGTTGTGCAGTATTGAAATGCTTAGGTTATAATTTCAGTATTTAAACTTTGTCAAAGAAGAACTGTCTGAATTTTTTTGAGCTTGGCAATATTTCAGCATTTTTTCCCCATGCTGAACTAACCCAAATGTATGGTACCAATAGAACCACAAATAGCTTCACAACTATGCAGATGTTTCCATGGCATCCATTTATCCATTTCCTATCTTGGTGTCTTCCAGATGTGACAAATTTCAATTCCCATATGTCCTCTGCTGGATGGGAATTGTAGGAGTCGAAGTCCAACATATTTGGAAAGATCTAATTTGGGAGATGGTGTTTTAGATAGTGCATATAAAATCTAGATATTGTTTGACTTGTACCAAAATGAGAAATTGATAGTTTAAAGTAAGGAAACAAGGAATATAATAATCATAATTCTCTAGGATACATAATTTCCTATGGAAGTTTTGGACTGCTTTCATATCCCCAGATTAATGTCTCTGTTGATTATAGCGAATGCGAGATGTGATCCAAAACATCTGGAGGGCAACAGGTTGTCTACCTCCCATCTGCATAAACCAGCAGTGGCTCTTCAGGGTTTCAGGCAGGAGTATTTCCCAGCGCTATATGAATATGTTATATATTATTATTGTTGTACTCTGACCTTGGTTAATTTTTCTCCCCTCATTTTAAATTTGGTGACATCCCTGTGTAAAAGTAAAAAGAAATATTTCTTGATTATCTGGACATTAAAAACCTATACACATAGTATCATATTCACTTGTGATTCTGCCCTTACATTGATTTTTTTTTTTTACTGAATCTGTTAAAGATATTTAATAAGGAAGACAGTAGGTCAGTGCTGTTATGATTGTGGAGGAAAACACACTCCCACATGAGTAATAGAATATAACTGACCTAACCTAGTCAGTTAAAGGTCTAGTGATCCCATATATACTCAGCTTTAGCTTAGTTTTGTTTTCACATTTTAAGGCTATGTGAAACTCATCATAGAGTTATAGCTCATTATAGCACATTATAGCTCATTATATTGTGTGAACACAAAATTGGATTTAGACTTTTAAAACATTTACTCATGTTATGCAAAGTTACAGTGCTTTGTGACATATATTGTGTGAATAAAAAATTGGATTAGACTTATAACATGCTTACACTCTGCCCTTCGAACATCAGTACAGACATTTGAAGGAAATCTTAATTTTTCTTATGCGTGGATAGCTTTTTTTAACTACACCTGACTATTTATCTTGCCTGTCTGTCTGTCCCTTTCATATGCCACTTTCAACTAAAGAATTCAGGTTTCTCTACAATGAATTGCCTATTTTATCCTTTAAGTATCCTTTGAGAAATAGTGGCCCCTTCTCACAACACATTCATGGGTCAATATGTGGTAGAAACTTTGAAAATTGATCACTGACCCAATTAGTTAAATTAGACTTATCTTAAAACTGGCCCAATTCCAACAATTCTTTTATTTGCTTGCCAGTCTTCCAGGACAAAAAGCTAGAGAGAAAGAGTGGCAGCAAACTTCTCTAATGCAGGAAAGAGGTTAAGGTTTGGTGACATG